AGTCTTTTGATGAGCATGTGGTGTCTCACAAAGGGGGTCGTGGTCTTCTTGCTTCGCGGCCATGGACTTCTTACTCATGTTCATGGCCTTCTTGTCTCGCGGCCATGGACTTCTTACTCATGTCCATGGCCTTCTTGTCTTACGGCCATGGACTTCTTACTCGTGTTCATGGCCTTCTTGTCTCGCGGCCATGGACTTCTTACTCATGTCCATGGCCTTCTTGTCTTACGGCCATGGACTTCTTACTCGCGGCCATGGACTTCTTACTCATGTCCATGGCCTTCTTGTCTTACTGCCATGGACTTCTTAGTCATGTCCATGGCCTTCTTGTCTTACGGCCATGGACTTCTTACTCATGTCCATGGCCTTCTTGTCTCGCGGCCATGGACTTCTTACTCATGTTCATGGCCTTCTTGTCTCGCGGCCATGGACTTCTTACTCATGTCCATGACCTTCTTGTCTCGCGGCCATGGACTTCTTACTCATGTCCATGGCCTTCTCGTCTTACGGCCATGGACTTCTTACTCGTGTTCATGGCCTTCTTGTCTCGCGGCCATGGACTTCTTACTCATGTCCATGGCCTTCTCGTGACACAACATGGCCCTCTCATACTTACTATCTTTTCTTGCGTCCATGCCCCTTCTCGTGAAGTGGCACGTGCTTCTCCTTGAAGTGGCATGTACCTCTTCCAGACTTAGTTTATTTTTTAGTCATTAGGCCTTGGTCATGGGGCGGCATGGCCTCTTCGTTGAGGCGGCATGGCCTCTCTTTAGACTTAGTAGCTTGGGCCTAAAATCAATATCCATAAGGCCCAACTGAAACAACATTAATTGTTATAATGGGTGTGGCCTTATAAACTCATTAATTATCTTGTAACTCACCAATGTGGTACAAGACAAATTTTATGGTGTAAACAGAATCATATGCTGCATTGTTCGGTTGTTTTTAGAGGTGGCAATTAGGATCCAAATCCATGAATCCAATCCAATCCATCCACCAAATTATCCATTTAATCCAATTCATTTGATCCAAATCCAATTGGATTTGTGGATTCATGGATCAATCCATGGATCCAAATGGCAAATTACGATTTGGTATCTATATTTTTTATAAGAAAAATATCATTGAAAAATTACATTTTGGTACCTAGAATTTTTCATCATGACATTTTAGTATCTAAACTTTTCAAAATTTACATTTTGGTCCAAACATTGGATGCTATTTGGATTCATGGATCAATCCACCAATCCATTGAATCCAAACCATGAATCCACGAATCCAATCCACGGATCCACGAATCGGAATCAATTGCCACTTCTGGTTGTTGTATTTGTATACGCTGTATATATCCTCTTCAATTTTTATTTATAGAATATTATGCTGGAGACTTCTTGCATGATCGTTTTACCTTCCCCGCAATAATATGCAATTACCTATTTGAAAACGGAATGATAATAATTAGTAAAGTAGTGGCTTCATAAATACCCACAATATAATATTAGATATTAAACTATACAATATAATATTAGATATTAAACTATCTCATTTTTTAATAAAAATATTATGTTGTGAATGAAGAGAGACAATATGTTTCCATGGTTATAGGAGTAAGATATATTCAAGAGACCGATGACTCCTAATTTCTCCCTCGTTCTTTTCACCGTCGTCATCCTAACCTTTTCTAGCCAGTCTCTAAACACCATTCTGAAATCCACTCCACCCTACGGTAGTACATACACATCAACATTAACTTTGTATTTCCCTGCATGTGGTCTCTCCCATCTAGCTAGTAGCTAGTAGCATAGCCCAAAATTTATGTAAGGTGGTTTCGTATATTTTTTAATATCAATTTTTTTTAACCATTTGTAATCCTCATTGTCAAAACAAAGGTTGACCAATCCCCTTATTCATTTCCATCATTGCAATCCTCATTGTCAAGCTAGTTAATTCATGGGCTTGAAGTTTGCACATATTTATCATACCTTGTACTTTAATCAACTGTTATATTGGGGGTCGTGAAGATTCGAATACACGACCACTTGGTCAAACCAGCTCTGATGCCATATCAATAACCAATTGATCCTAATAACTCGAATTGTTGGGAGAAAGTTATGCTGGATTTTATAATACACTCTAACAGCCTGGCTCATTGACATTCAGACGACCCATCCACCCGTGTCTCACGATTGTTATTTCAATAGTATAATAAAGTTATGTTCATAATATAACTTGCTTCCCACCAGCTAATTAACCCCAACCCTATTTATTGCTGCAGTCAATAATTGCAGTTCCGGCCCTCTCAGTACGTACGTACGCACCCATGTCAGTCTCGATCATGTTATCTTAGCAGTGTCCAGTCAATCATCCACATACTAGCTGGCTAATTAAGTTTCCTTTCTTTCCAGAAATGCAAATGTGTGAATTTCTCGACGAGCTTCAAGATGATCGAAGGCGACCTTATGAAGGTGTACAAGGAGTTCAAAATTGCGGTGAAGGCAACTCCCAAGTCGGAGAGCACCAATCTCATCCACTGGACGCTGGAGTACGAGAAGCTGAACGAGGAAACAGATGAAGGGCTCGATCCGATCATCCCATACATGCAAGTGAGATAGCGACCGATGGGTGATCACGTCAAGTAGTTTCTGTAGAAAAAAAAACTTTAATTATTATACGAAAGAAATTAGAAGAATACTATCACATTTAAAAAAAAAAAGTACATGAGGAGTGCTTACCGGGTTTGCCGCCCAAACACTTTCAGATCGATGGTAAGGTTGCTCATCCAACAAATAGGTTTCTCGCGGTCCGCCTTGAATGTATAATCTAGAATCGTAAATACTCGGGTCCATCTCGGCAATTTTGAGTGATAGAAGTACCAAACTAAAGAAAAAAAATTTGATGCGGAAGATCGGGCTTAGCCGCAACCACATAGCATTTTTTTTTTCTTCAAGAGTGGTGGGAGGAAGAGAGGAAGAAGAATGAAGTGGTGTGAGATTTGGTGGCATGGAGGGGGGAATTTAATCTACTGAGTGGGAAGCTGGAGGTACAATTCGCGATCAGGCTACCAGCGAGCCAAGCAAATTGTAGAAGACATCGACCATGTGAATTTCTCGACCAACTTCAAGATGATCGAAGGCGACCTTATGAAGGAGTACAAGGAGTTCGGAATTTTGGTGAAGGCAACTCCCAAGTCGGAGAGCACCAGCCTCATCCACTGGACTCTGGAGTATGAGAAGCTGAACGAGGACATTCTCGAGCCCTTCTCCCTTCTGAAATTCTTTGTTCATCTCAGCAAAGACATTGATGATCACCACACCGAGAAAATAGAAGCTAAGTAATATGATCGATCGCGCATCGACACAACCTTCGGCCCTTGATCGATCGGGACTGGCCAACTATAAGCTGCAATATGGGCTCCAACCTGGGACCGTCCATTATAAAATTAAATAAATGAAAAGAGTCGGGCCTGTTAGATATTGGGTTAATGACATAAATATTGTTTTTTTTTTAATTTACCACCAATATGGCGGATTAAAAATAAATGACACAGATATTGTGTTTTTGGAAAAGGCTTTGGCGGCCACACCGGAGACTCAGGCGCCGCCGCTGATTCTAAAGTTCTGGGCACTGGCGCCCGAGTCCCTAGCGCCGCCGCGTCAGCCTCTTTTTTTTTTTTTTTTTAAATTCCCCTCGGGCTCGGCCCCCCCCCCCTCTCCCCTCCACCCTTATCTCTTCCCTGACCACACACTCTCCTCCTCCCCTCCTTCTTCCCGACCACACAACACCCTTATCCCCCAACCCTCCTCTTCTTCTTCTTTCTTGCTGCCTGAACAGAGAACCCACCCCGCCGCAACTGAGGTGCCGGCGCCTGTGAGTGGAGCGTCGCCGCCTGTAAGGGGAGCGCCGTCGCCGCAGCAGGGAGCGCCGCCGCTGGCGAGTGAGCGCCGTCGCCGCAGCAGGGAGCGCCGCCGCTGGGGAGTGAGCGCCGCCGCCGCAGAGAGGGGAGCCGCCGCTGCAGTCTGAAGCGCCGCCGCTTACAGGTAAATTAAAAAAAAAAACAATATTTGTGTCATTATCCCTTAGATATTCTAGCCATGTGCTACAAATAATTAATCGTTTGTGTCTGTGTTATATATTATGTTTGTTACGTTTCAGGGATTCACTGTATCCTTATATCAGTGAAGTTTCCGGAAGGATGCTCAGGTTAGCAATTCTGGAAGAGATACTCAATCTTTTTGCTTCAAACATGGGCTTTACTGTACGATTTGTAGGTCGACGAAATAATAGGGTAGCTCATTTGGTAGCTAGACAGGCCTTGTCTTTGTTCCCGACTACATGTCGTTCTTTTGATTTCCAGGCCTGGCTAAATTCCAGTATGTAACGATCTATTTGTTTCAATCTACTTGATTATCTTTTGTCAACAACAACAAAAAAACCAAATACACATAGTGGTTATTTGTGAAAACAATAATTGTATTAGTCGGTGAATTTGTTATTAGAGACACTATACAAACTACAAAGTCCCTTTCCTTGGTTTGACATGTATATCGAAAATGGATTCAAAAACATCACGTGGAATGAGAACACAAACCACAATCGTTTTTTTCCCCCTTCTTCTTCGAGAAATAGAAAAGATTTGGGAAAATGTACATTGATGAAAGGAGCCATAATTTGGACATAATGTCAAAGTCCATCTGCTATTGGGCCTGGTGGCTCATAAAACTCTTAGGGGCCCATCTAGGGCTGTCCATATCAAATGAAGGCTCACGATCCATGGTCCTCACAAATCACAATTAAAGGTGGGCAAAGATGTGTGGTGCACACTGCACACCATACCAAATTGCACCAAATTGATATTTGGATTCAATTTAACCAATCAAATCTAATATTTGATTTCAGATTCAATCCTTACAATATTTGATATAAGTCAGCAACAGCCCCTTCCTTCCTTCCTTCCTTCATTGTCACGACAATAATTTTGATGATGGCTGACGATTTCCCAGTAATCGATCTCTCCCCGTTCTTCACTACCCCCGGCGCCGCCGACGCAAACAAGAAGGAGGAGGTGATAAGGCGAGTCCGGGGAGCATGCACCGGCGCCGGCATCTTCCTGGTCGTCAACCACGGCATCCCCCCCGGCAGCGCTGAGCGAGACGTTGGCCGTCGGTCGCGAGTTCTTCGACCGACCCGCCGAGGAGTGTTAACTGACTGATCTATCAGCAGGCTGCTCAGCAGTAGGTAGGTAATGAACATCAAGAGTGCCATCACGAACAAGATCTCGAACATAATGCACATGAATCTCGATGTGCTTTGTGCGATCATGAAGGACGGGGTTGACGGCAATCCGGATAGCGCTAGTATTATCCACAAACAACTGCATAGGCGCCGAGCAGTGCACACCAAGATCAGATAGGAGACGACGCAGCCAAACCAGCTCAGAAGCAACCTCAGACATGGCCCGATATTCCGCTTCAGTGGAGGACTTCGAAACCTTATCCTGCTTCTTGCAACGCCAAGAAATGAATGCAGGACCATACTGAACACACCACCCTGAAGTAGAGCGACGAGTATCGATACACCCGGCAAAATCAGAGTCAGAATAAGCACGAAGGGTGGATGTCCCAGTAGCCGGAAAGAAAATACCCACTTCACGAGTACCCTGTAAATACCGGAGAATGCGATGAACCGCAGCAAGATGATCAGTGCGGGGGTTAGCCATAAACTGACTAACAACCTGAACGGCATAGGAGATATCTGGTCGAGTCGCAGCAAGATAGATGAGACTCCCGACGATGCTGCGATAAGAATGACCATCAGACAGTGGATCGCCTGACTCACGACTGAGGCGGAGATTGAGTTCCATGGGAGTGGAAACTGGCTTGCAGTCAGAGAAGTGATGATCCGCCAGAAGATCAGAGATGTATTTCCGTTGATTAAGTAGAAGACCAGTAGAATTGCGGGTTACCTCCAGGCCCAGAAAATAGGAAAGCTCACCCAAATCCTTCAGACTAAATGCTGCATGAAGTCCCTGCTTAAGACTGTGAATACCCGCAAGATCTGTACCAGTGATCACCATGTCGTCGACATAAAGCAGTAGCACAACAATGCCAGCAGGAGTAGTCTTAGTGAACAGAGAAGGATCATTCAGACTTTGCTTAAATCCAAGCGTGGCAATGGTGGAATGAAACTTCTCAAACCAGGCACGAGGTGCCTGTTTGAGACCATAGAGAGAACGATTCAGCCGGCAAACCTGATCAGAAGTACCCAATGTGTAACCCGGAGGAAGTTCCATATAGACCTCCTCATCGAGATCGCCGTGAAGAAAGGCGTTCTTGACATCCATCTGATAGAGAGGCCAATTTTGCTGTGCAGCAACCGCTAACAGAGTACGAACCGTGGACATCTTGGCTACTGGTGCAAAAGTTTCGTTGTAGTCAACCCCGAATTCCTCAGTAAACCCCTGTGCTACCAAACGGGCCTTGTACCGGTCAACTGTACCATCTGGCTTCATTTTAACTGTGTAGACCCACCGGCAGCCAATGACCGACTTAGAAGAATGAGGCCGAGGGACTAGTGTCCAAGTGTTGCTAGCATGTAGAGCATCCAATTCCCGTTTCATAGCCATGTCCCACACTGGATCACCTTGGGCCTGTTTGTAGCGAGTCGGGACAACAAAGGAATCCACTCCGTGAGCAACATAATCATGGAACTTAGGTGGAGGTATACCTTGAGTAGCCCGAAGTGAACGGCGGAGTTGAGGAGGACTTGGAGGTGCAGTAGTGGACGTGGCGGGTGAAGAGGCTGGAGAATTGGTGTGCGAAATGGGCGCAGCGGAGGACGTAGCAGACATGGAAGGCGAGCTCCCAGGCGTGGAGGACGCGCTGTCAGGCGGGGAAGACACGCTAGGGGATGGCGAGGATGGCGCAGATGAAGACGAGCTGTGGGGGAGCAGATCGGACGTGGGGGGATCATCAGGAGCTTGGGGAGGATCAATTTCATCATCATTCTCACCAAACATAGGAAGTGACACGGACGAAGGAAAAATGGAAGAGGATGGACTCGACTCATGAAACATGACATGTTCAAAGAAAACAACAGTGCAGGCAATGCGCATACGCTGTAATTCAGGATCATAACATAAATATCCTTTATGAACATCGCTATATCCAAGAAAAACACATCGAGCTGTTTTAGATGACAGTTTGGTGCGTTCCCGTTTAGGACGAAGAACAAAACATAAGCACCCAAAAACACGCAGTCTAGAGTAATCAGGATGACGACGATAAAGAGCAAAAAAAGGGCTAGTGTTATGCAAAACAGGAGTGATTTGATAGTTGATGAGACGGACTGCAGTAGCAACTGCTTCAGGCCAAAAACGACTAGGGACTCGAGATGCAAGGAGAAGGGCTCGAGTGAGTTCAACTACATGCCGGTTTTTACGTTCTACAAGACCATTCTGTTGAGACACACCAGGACAAGACATCTGACTTAGAATTCCAAGGGAACGATACAAATCATGAAGAGGAGAAGAACTGAATTCACCACCTGGATCAGAACGAATTATTTTCACCGTTTGACCAAATTGTGTTTTGATCATTTGAATAAATTCAGTAGCAACAGCACGGAGATCAGATTTCAACCGGAGAAAATAAATCCAAGTAAAACGAGTGGCATGGTCAACAAAGAGAGCAAAATATCGAAACCCATGACGAGACAAGGTGGGAGCAGGACCCCAAAGATCAGTATGGATGACATGAAATGGTTCTGTGATAACGGTAGTACTCGAGGGAAAAGAAATACTAGCAGTTTTAGCCTCAACACAGCTAGTACATGAATGATGTGCATGAAAATCAACAGTGTTTTTGCCAAGTAATGATTGCCGAAACATCTTTACAAGGCGATCTGAATGAGGATGTCCTAACCGAGCATGCCAAAGGTCCCAAACAGTGTTTGCCTGACTCGAAAAACAAGGAAAAGAAGATGACTGACTACTGACGATCCTATGAGGATGACTATTGACGAACGACGACTCTGAAAACTCACGAAGCTCCTCTAGATGAAAGATCCTCCCATGTTTATTCCCCCTTCCGATCTGCCTCCCCGTCTTCAAATCCTGTACAGAACACCCAGACGGTGTAAACAAGACAGAACAATTCTGCTCAGTGAGTTGTCCAACAGAAACTAAATTGGGAACCAATTTAGGTACATGTAACGTATTAGACAAGGTGAGCTGCGACTCTGCAACATTACCAATCCCATGAACACCCAACTTCTCTCCATTAGCAACACGTAAGGCCATGTTCTTAACAGGAAGCAAGTTATGCAAAGCACGTAAATCTGAAGTCATATGATTAAAACACGCTGAATCAAGAATCCAAGTATTCTTTTTACCTGTACCCTGGAATGTAGCGAACGCCGTGCTAATTGCAGTGGGCAGAGAACGCTGGAGAGCTGCATTTACCATTTGTTCAACATCAGCAGCTGAAAACGAAGTCCCTCCAGTGGCAGCAGGGTGATCGACAGCAGCGGGGAGTGTGGCATAAGCTGGCCGACCACCAGGGTGCTGTGGACGGCCCCATGAGCGAGCAGCCGCAGCAACGGGACGATCCCCATTTCCACCGACGGCAGCAGCTGACCGATCCCAAGGCCGATCTTGACTGGACGTACCACCAGCCATACCCGCTGCGCGTGCTTCATTGCGCTGGCGCTGACGACAGTCGAGAACTATATGTCCTCCTCGTTTGCAGTATACACAGAAATTCTGACGACGACAGTGCTTCCTGACATGGCCTTTTTCCCGACAAAAATGACACTCAAGTTCGGTCACAGGAATACTTCTCTGGAATTGCGGCCTGCCCACAGCGTAGGCAGACGAGTCGGAGGCAGAATTGGCTGCAAAAACAGCCTCTCCTTCACTTGGACGAACGTCGAGGCGGGCCTGGGTGCGAAGTCGACACTCTTCGCGGACGAGCTGGGCCAAGACTCCTTCAAAACGTAGACTGTCCCTGTTCAACAACACCGAGCGAATCGACTCAAACTCGGGCCTGAAGCGCATAAGAAACTGGAGCAGCCTTGTTTGCTGCCTTTCGACGAGAGCATCTTCAGTAGGGACAGCCTGAGGTCGAAGAGCCACCATGAGCAGATCATGCTCGGTCCACAGCTCCTGGGCTTTATTGAAGTACTCGGTCACGGTAAGATCACCTTGCTCCAGCCGAGCAAGTGCAGTTTGAATCTCGAACTGGCGCGCCGCATTGACAGTGGAATAGGTGGACGCCAAATGCCTCCACATGTGATTTGCCGTCGGGAATAATCGGAGACTCAGGCAGGTGGATGGATCAACCGTTCCTAGAAGCAGCGAGCGAACCCTTGCATCGTTTTGAGTCCAGGCAGCAATCTCTTGTGCAGGTGAGTTCGCTGCCGGCCTTGGCGTGGTACCATCAAGGATCCCTAGCCATCCTTTTCCTTCAATGAAAACTCTGAACTGAAATTCCCAAAGGGAATAGTTGGTCGAAGTCAGCCGGACAGTGGGTCTCTCGGAATCCATTGCGTTTGGCTCTGATACCATGTTAACTGACTGATCTGGAAACAATGAACGATAGACTGAACAAATGACAAACACAGGCGATTTACGTGGTATCCCTGATGATCAGGACTAATCCACGGGAGAGCTTTGGAACGCTCTCCAGACTACTGTTATTATTGAGTGTGGCGGCTTAACCAACAAAAGAAAGTCTCAGTTCAACATATACAACTCACAAAGGAGAGGGAATCAGCCGAACCCTAGCATCGGCCAAGAGCCACGATGCATGGGTTGCATGGGCCGAAATTAATGAGGAGTGGGCTTCATGGGCTATGTACAATGAAAAACAAACGACTCCGTTTAACAAGGAGAAGCTCAAGTGGATCCCACCGCCGGCGGCCGCATCGGGCATGCCGACCGGCTACGTCAATCAGGCGGCGGTTGAGTTGGCTCGGAATAATAGCGAGATATTCAAGATGGCCCCAATTGGCTCGCCCTCCAACGTCTACCCGACCGACCCGCCACGGTTCAGGTACCCGCAACCCGGCCCTTGTTTCGACCCCACTCCATTTTTTTTTTGTCAAAGGTATTCCGAATCGGAGCGATAGATACGAAGATAATCAACATAGAGAACACCCTAACATATGGTAGAATGACAGAGATCATAATTAAAATCATAAAAGGATACGAGCTTCCGTTGTTGGAATTCATGCAATCGAACCGACTCCATTGGTTTGGCTTGGGTGTGGAATTCATGCTACGTAGTTTTTGGGGAATTAATAGAAAAATTGGTTTTCATTATTCGCCTTATCATTTACTTAATCTATGATGTTGGTGGCGCTGGCTAACATATGTTCGGGTAGAAAATCTAGTTAACTTCTTTGTGGTTACGACTTAGAAACTAGAAGTGGCAATTAGGATCCAAATCCATGAATCCAATCCAATCCATTCACCAAATTATCCACCTAATCCAATCCATTTAAATCCAATCCATTTGATCCAAATCCAATTGGATTGGTGGATCCATGGATCCAAATGGCAAATTACGATTTGGTACCTATATTTTTTATATTTTACATTTTGGTACCTAAAATTTATATTTTATACGAAAAATATCATTGGAAAATTACATTTTGGTACCTAAAATTTTTCATTATGACATTTTAGTACCTAAACTTTTCAAAATTTACATTTTGGTCCAAGCCTTGGATGTCATTTGGATTCATGGATCAATCCACCAATCCATTTGATCCATGGATCCACCAATCCAATCCACGAATCCGCGAATCCGATCCAATTGCCACCTCTATTAGAAACTGATATCTTTCAATTAATTTCGGTTCAATGATTAAACCCCGACGCCTTGTTCAAACACATAAACAGGATTAGTTCATATTTTCCTAAATGGTTCCGGTGGAAACCAAATCATTCATGCTTCTTAATGGTTTTGGCTTCGTTATAGGAAAAATCTGTTTTTTGAGTTTGAGTTTATGGTTAAAAGATTGGGTTATAGGTAGGGGTGGGCAACCGGTTAGGTAAACCCGAACCGAACCGAAACCTAACTAATGCTATTCGGTTCGGAATTCGGAAGAAAAATATGGATATTTCGGAAATCAAGGTTCTTTCAACCGAACCGAATTTCCGACCGAAAAACCGAAATACTATAATTGCAAGCTCAAATGGTGGATTTTTATGTTTGTATTTGTTTTTAGTCTTAAATATTTGAAATGTTTTATGACTTATGTGTTGAAAAGTTTGATTTTATAATTGATGATGCATATAATTACATATTTATTGTTTATATTAAGGGTGAAAAAATAATTTAAAAGTGAGAAAATACAAGTAGCCTCTCAATTTCGGTTTTGTGTATAAAACCGAACCGAATTATAATTCGGTTTAAACGCCCGAACCGAATTTTAATTCGGTTCGAATTCGGTTTGGGGTTTGGGAGAATTCGGGGACCCGGTATTCATAAATTCGGTTCGGTCGAAACCGAACCGACCGAATGCCCACCCCTAGTTATAGGTATAATATGCCCCTCTACTATGACGTTTTATCAAACATGTCCCTCTACTATTTTTTACATCAAATATGCCCCTGTAATTTGAAAAAATTATCAAACATGCCATTCTGTTAAAATTTTGATTGAAAAAATCGTCAATCATAGTTGAATTGAGATTTAGACGACCCGACATCGACAAATGGGAGGGAAAATGTCAGTTTTGTCCCCTGTTTTATTTTTCTGGATTTTTTCAAAGTGAAATTATTTGAATGATTTGATTATACAAAATAACCAAAAAAAATTCTAAAGTGAATTTATTAGGGAAATTTTAGTCATTTGTGTCGGCCAAACTAAAGTTCGGCCTTGGTTAACGGTTTTTAGATGAAAATTTTAACAAAAGGGCATGTTTGATCATTTTTACAAAGTACATGGGCATGTTTGATGTAAAAAATAGTAGATGGGCATGTTTGATAAAACGTTATAGTAGAGGGGCATATTATACCTATAACCCTAAAAGATTCTACCAATGGAACCAAACCAGACATTTTTGGCTTCGTTATAGGTAAAATCTGTTTATTGAGTTTGAGTTTGTGGTTAAAGATTCTACCAATGGAACCAAACCAGACATTTTTGGCTTCGTTATAGGAAAAATCTGTTTATTGGTTTTGAGTTTGTGGTTAAAGATTCTACCAATGGAACTAAACCAGACATTTTTGGCTTCGTTATAGGAAAAATCTGTTTATTGAGTTTGAGGTTAAAGATTCTACCAATGGAACCAAACCAGACATTTTTGGCTTCGTTATAGGAAAAATCTGTTTGTTGAGTTTGAGTTTGTGGTTAAAGATTCTACCAATGGAACCAAACCAAACACTTTTTCCATCCCTAAACTATCATAAACTAACTGATCTCAAAATTTGAGTTGTTATAAGAGGTTCATATATGGTACTTATTCACTTCCTTACACGATCTCAAAAATAAATTTGGGTACCAATATGTAATTTACCAAAATGTGTAGTAAATGACCAGAAAATTCAAAATTAGAATAAAAAATCATAAAATTTAAAATACAAACAAATTATAAATGAGTATCCAAACAACAAATTTGAATTACATGCATTTGTAATACATCTCTCCAAACGGATCCTTAATTATGATATTGTTGCAGAGAGATAATGGAGAGGACATTCAAATACTTTCAGAGGACGGCGGCGTTGATAGAGACTCTTCTAAACGACGCTCTGGGTCTCCCTCCAGGTCGCCTTCATCAATATAACAGCAACAGGCAGAGCGATAGGATGATAGCATACCGCTACTTCAAGGCCAATGTCGAGACCAAGAAAATGATCGGATCATACCCACACAAGGACCCGAACCTTTTCACATTGTTGTTGCAGGATGATGTCGGAGGGCTTGAGTTCCTGCGCAACGACCAGTGGATTCCAGTTTCTCCGATCCCCCATTCCCTCGTCGTCAATGTCGGCGATGTCCTCCAGGTATATATACTCGACATCCATTAATTGGACTGAACTCGATCTTGTTATCTAGCTAGCTAGCTTTCATTATAATGAACTGTCAATCAGGTGCTAAGCAACAATGAATTCAAGAGCGTGGCGCACAGGGTGGTATCTCCGAGCGAGAAGGATCGCTATTCGTGCGCATTTGGGTGTCAGATCGGCGAAAACAAATGGGTAGAGCCGTTTGCGGAGTTAACAAGCCAGATCAAGGCGGCGCCCAAGTTTAAGGGTTTCTATCACGGTGAATTCCTGCAGCTGTTGGGGGCCAGTTATAAACCAACTCTGGAACCAAATGACACATTCACCCTTATGGACGTCGTTGTAAACAACTACACTCTCCCAGCATGAACTACCCCAAATTGAGCTCTGGCAAGCCTTTGTTTGCAATAACATACTCAGATGTGGATCGGACTGTTATGAGACAATTCAATTACCACATCGAAAATATAAGGGAAGGGATCCTAGCTAGCTTGTTATATTTTTCTTTTGTTGGTTGTTGGTCTTAATGTTCCAACTTAAAAGTAATTATGGATCACTGGAGTTAATCTAGTAAAGTTGTTGTGCATCATATGCACTTTGGGTTGTTGTATTTGTATACCCTATATGTATCCTCTATGACTCTGGATCCTTGAAAATACATGGTTTAGTATTGATAAGTAATACGTCTATTTGCTATTTATTTTTATCAAACATGTCGCTTTATTATTATTTACCACTCAATCATACTCATAAAAGTAGTTATCAAACATGCCATTTTGTTAAAAATTTAATAAAAAAATCATCAACTAAGGCCGAACCGTGGTTCGTACGACTTGACATCGGTAAAATGGGAGAGGGAATGTCACTCTTGATTCTCCATTTATTTATCTAAGTCTCGTTAAAATAAAATTATTAGAGGAACACAAACTGTTAAAAATTAACATATTGGGTTCATTTTAGAAGGTTATAATATATATAACCCTATTGATAATCAACCTAGTTAATTCTCATATATGAGCAAATTAATCAACCAGTTAAACACACAGGTGAACTGCTTAATTATATTATCTCCCTTTGCAATTAATAAAAAAATATGATAAATATAATACAATAAAAATTAAAGAGGCAGCATCCGTCCGACCGTCCCGTCCTGATGCAATTTAAGTTTAATAATTCATTAACAAAGCTTGAACCAATAATATGATGCCATGTCAATGAGTAGCAGCCATTGGCTGCAATTAGGGATGACAATTTCGACCTCACCCGTTTTACCCGACCTGTTTGACTTGCTTTGGGGCGAGTCCAACCCGGCCCATAGGCGAGGCGGGCATGGATACCTCCCATCGACCTGACCTGCCCCATTATTGACCCGTTCTTCTCTAAATTACATGTAATCTTTGTCAAATTATTTAGGATTTCCTTTTATTACCTCATATTTTAGCGGTAATAAACTTGTAAATAAGTGAAAACATTAATTTCTCCAATAATTTAACTACATTTCATCATATTATGGTTCCTTTCTTGGTATTTTAATGAAAATAATGAATATTTCTAATGTTTTTCACATAAATTAGATACCTATTGGGTCAACCTGCCCCGACCCGCGCCGTGATAAAGTACCCGACCTGGACCTGACCTGCCACGGAACGAATATGGATTTCAAGATACCCGCCCCGGACCTGCCCATTACCATTCTTAGCTGCAACCCAGACCGCAACCAAGTATTGCCCTTATTTCAAAAGTATAGAGTTATCGTCATAATAATTAATAACTAGTTTCCCCAACTAACCCTATTTATTGCTGCAGTCAATAATTGCAGTTTTGGCCCTCTCAGTACCAAGTACCAACCCATGTCGGTCTCGATCGTACGTGTTATCTTAGCAGTGTCCAGTCCAATAATATAATGCTAGCTGGCTAAGCTTCCTTTCTTTCCAGAAGTGCTCGCCTACGCCCTTCTTGTATATAAATTCCAAACCTTTCGTTCTGCAATTCTTCACAAAATTAAAACAAGCTACCCAGCGAAGATAAAGAAAAGCATGGCGGGGTTTAACCTACTAAGTGGGAAGCTGGAGGTACAATTCGCCATCAGGCTCCCAGCGAGCCAGCACCACGAAATCTTCAGCGCAAGGCCTCACCACGTCTCCAACATGGCTCCTGCCAAGGTCAGGAACTGCGCTGTTCATGAAGGTGATTTGGGCCAAAAGGGCACCATCATTGAGTGGGATTATGTACATGGTACGTATAAACCAACTGGTCACAATAACTCGAATTGTTAGTTAACCATTCTCTTTACAAAAACATGGTTATTAATGAATTTGTATATTTTGATGATCAGATGGGGAGAAGAAGCTTGCCAAGCAGATCGTAGAGGACATGGACGATGTGAATTTCTCGACCAGCTTCAAGATGATCGAAGGCGATCTTATGAAGGAGTACAAGAACTTCATGATTGTGGTGAAGGCAACTCCAAAGTCGGAGAGCACCAGTCTCATCCACTGGACTCTGGAGTATGAGAAGCTGAGCGAGGACATCCCCGAGCCCTTCTCCCTTCTGAAATTCTTTGTTCATCTCAGCAAGGACATTGATGATCACCACGCCGAGAAAAAAGAAGCTAAGTAATATGATCTCGCGCATGGACCCAACCTTCGGCCCTTGATCGATCGGGACCGGCCCAACTATAAGCTGCAATATGGGCTCCAACCTGGGGACGTCCATTATAAAAATAAATAAATGAAAAGAGTCGGGTCTGTTAGATATTCTGGCCATGCGCTAGAAATAATTAATCGTTTGTGTCTGTGTTATATATTATGTTTGTTACGTTTCATGGATTCACTGTATCCTTATCGCAATATGTCATGATGTGCTGAGGAATGGGGATGTACATGCAGCAAAAAATAATGGTGATGGCGGATTGTATGCGATGGCAGAGCCATAAATTTTAAATAATAGTGAAGGTGGAGTTGTATGCAGTTGTACAATTGTTCACAAATTGATTGTTTATTCGTTCTTAAATTTGTTTTTAAAGTAATCCAAAACTAAAAATATTATTTCAACACTTTAAGAAGCAAATAAATCAATAGATATAATAGAATGGGCTGAATAAGGGTAGCCCGATATTGAGTTAAATTGTTAAATTTTGAAAATAATTTGGGAAAGAAATAACATTTTGACTATTAGACTAAGAAAACAACAACAAATGAGTTGTAATCTAATAGAAAATATATTTATGAATAATAGTAGTATCCTATGTTCAAATCATCTAATCTATCACTTATATTTTTTTCCACCTACACGCAAACTACTATCGAAATTGGATAATCGTTTTTTTCCATATTTTATAGGCGTCAAGGTATACTACCAAAACCCCTGGCTGGTTGTATGGATATTAGGTTTGATATATATGAAGGTTCTTTATTGTGTCCATGCAGTCTGCTGGTTCAAGTACTCGAATCTTCATAAACGAAGACATCTAATTTTTCTTTTAAAATAACTTCTAGTTGACTATATCTTTTTTGTTTGTTTTAAGTCCTAATTCAAAAAATTTACACGGAAAAATAAGATTAATTATATTCTTCAAAATTATATGTAATTTGTTATATTTTTTAACACAAAATTGAGATATATATTATCACACTGGATATTAATGAATGGATTACAATAAATATATTTGTTATATTTAAAATAATTATGAATTCAAACTGAATTGAATGAGCTCAAATAATCACAATCTTAAAAACTTACCTGATTTCAACTACATTTTTGTCGACTCCGTCCTGGTAACGCCCTTCCATCCTTGCAATCCTCGTCAGATTTCATTTTGCAAATAATGATACAAGTCCGTTTTCTTTTTTTCTCCAGTGTCATGATAGAAGTCGAAAGCTGCGGTATTTTTCCTTTTCATTTCCATCATTGCAATCCTCGTGAACTTTCATTATTCAATTGCCAGCTAGCTAACCCATAGCTACTTTCCACATTATTGCAGTGTCTTGACACAGGCTCATCACTGGTAATGATAATTTTGATTTGACCTGCACGAAAATTTGGATCCATTAATTAGTCATACGATCCTCTTTGTACTTAAATTTATTAAGATAAGTATTTTTTTTTTCCCCTTGTGTTTTCATTTACAAATCAAGATGGCTTCAAGTATTTCAGGTTTCAAACAACATGCTTTGTTACTGACTATACTATAATCGAGTTTAGAAGACCTACTCTATGACTTTGTTTCTGAATAGAAATAGATGGAACGTTGTTTCAAACACTTCATTATTTAAAACAATACAATATTTTAAATATTTTTCTTCCACTTACATGATTCGGCTGCAATCATTTTACATCCCTACTTATAAAAAAAAAATTGCTTTTCATGGGCCGTTCTATCTTGCAGGCAGTTGTTGTTGGAAACAATATGAATCATTGTTTTAGGAAATTAATTGTTGTCAGCAAGATATAGTACTGTTGCAATTGAATATATATGCAGAGGAAAAGGAAAGAAAAGAATCCGTGGATCTAATTTCACCAGCCACAACGTACAACTCACAACAAGTATGCATTAGGCTCCGTATTTTTCTATTCTCCTAGTACTTTATTTCTTCTCTCGAAGAATTAGTTAAAAGAAATTTAATGGTATCAATCTAGAAAACCATACTGAAATGTGAAATGGCTACATGGAGCTTTTTCTGTGATGCATATCTTCATTTATACTCCAACCTCAAGATCGAATAGCTGATAAATCCATGAAAACTAGCTATTTGTGTTTATAATTATGTTGTTGAACATGGTGGGATCAAATTTAATATATAATGGACACACCATGCCAAATAGGTTATATGAGTAACCACAAGAAAAGAAATATTCAAGCGATCAAAAGAGTACAAAGAAGTAGTGCCTTGAGAAAATAATTTAACAATAATTTTTATTATAAGAATAACGTTTATGAATTTTTCCAGAACAAAATTCAAAGTTTCAATTGAGAAGGCAATTTTTATCCAACTAAAGCGTGGAAATCCTATAAATACCCCAGCTTGAAATTGAAAATTGACTCTAGTTGTGTTACAATTTGGACCGTGTCATAAAATAGTAAACCAATTAAAATTGAGAGTAGTGTCATAACTCATAAGATCACCATACCATCCATGAGCGTTAAAATATATATATATATATATATATATATATTTAAATATATGCTAAAATGAATATTAGATTATCGATAATAAATATTTAATTTGTTTTCAATTCTACGAACTAATTCAAATTCAAATTGAATCGAAGAAGCTATAGAATGCTGAAAATTTGTATGACCTAAACAAAATTTGTTGATCTCAGATCTCAATCATTAGATTGATGATCCAATTATTATTAAAAATTTCTGATATAGATTGATTGAAATACATGCACGTGGAGATTCATTTCCACTAGAATATATACATTGTTGTTACTAACCATGCCTGAGTGGATATATATATAAACACATAAGACTTTTACGTTATGAATGATTCATGTCTTTTCTCGTAAGAAGTCTTGGATCATATTCCATCTCACATATTGATCCTGTAATTCCATCTCTAAAAGAAGGCTGCCTTCGTGGATGAATCCAAGGACCATGCATGTATGTTACAAATTAAAAAGAGCCAAATGTCTTTCAGATTAGTAAGTAAATCTCAGAGATTAATTAACTCCTATGTTCACTCACAACAAAACAACAGTACCGTTTCCATTTCCCTTCGTTCCCATTTCCCCTTCTCGCGATCTCTTGAATCGTAACAAACAAAATTTCCCAAAACACCAGCTAACAACAATACTAACGTAACAATCCAACAACCCTAATGAAATCCAAGATCCCAGATGCAAACAACCAAACAACCGCCGGCGGTGCCCTACCGCCGCGGCCGTCACTGGTGAAGCGGGTTCGGAACCCGGAAGTGTACAGAGAAGCCATCGTCCTCTGCATGGAGATCATCATCCTCCTAGGGTTCCACCTCCTCTTCTACACCACCCTCCTCATCCTCCAGCGCCTCTTCTCCTCCGCCGCCCTCCTCCTCCTCCCCATCTCCATCGCCGCCCTCTTCACCCTCCACCCCAACCACGACGGCGGCAGCAGCCTCCCCATCGCCCTCCTCCGCAAGCTCATGCGCTCCCGCGACCGCCTCGGCGAGGTCGTCGCCTACGCCATCGACAGCATGCACGAAAAGGCGCGCCGCGACCACCACGGCTTCCTCATGGCCGTCCACGACCTCGACGTCGACGAACATCATCACGATGCCCTGTCGCCGAAGATCGTGGCCCTGTGGACCAGCTTCGCCGCGTACATGGGCCTGATGGCCCAGATCCTGTTTCGCTATCCTTTCTCCGGGGATACTTTTTTTGCCGGCGGGATGATCGCCATCGCCATCGTGGCCAACCTCGTCGCCTATTTTAGCTTTGCATGGGATTCGGCATCTCGTAAAAAGGTACGTGTAATAGTTTTTGATTAGTTGGTTCAGATGATTTGAGTTATTGAAAGAGACTTATGTATGATATTATGTTTGTTTATTGGGATCAGTTGATTTGTTACATGATATCACAGCTGGTATATATGTTTTTGCGGTCACATGTGTTCTAACTCTCATGATCCTCAATATTAACCGTTGTCTTAAAAGCGCATTGTATGACGAGTATAAAGGTGATGAATTGACTTTCGTTTGAAGGGATATGTAAAAAATTGGTTATAATTAATACATGAGTCTCTTTTAACAACTTGACTTATTGAGATGAACTTGACGCATTGATAGAGGTAATGATCGAACAATTGGGGATGTTACATGTAGATGAATGAATTGGAGGAAGTGAAGGACAAGTTGAGAGAAGAGCGAGAGAGATGGGAGGAAGAGAAGAGGAATCTCAAGGAAGAACTGGTTAGGGCAAAACGTGGATCAGCTGATCAGCAACCGCAAAAACTTTCTGCTGATCCACCTGCTCCTAGGCCGCTGGGCAGAGCAAGTTCAGGGCCGATAACTTCAGGTTCCTACTACAGTATGTATGGCAATTTTGATTGGGACTAATTTATAATATGAATTCTCTTATAGGATGGTTCATCTTTGGATACTTAATCTCGTGTATAATTAATTGCAACAAGCAATTAATGGTTTTGCTCATCTCTCACAGTTTTGTAACTTCCTTAATTACCTCGAGTGGTTATACATTATTGATTCTCTTCTTGTTATTTACCGTTCTTTCTTTTCATTCTACGGATTGGTTAAATTTATGCTTTATGAACTCGAAATCTTACAAGCTCAATTAGATATTATTCTCATTTTATTGTTTATTTATGTGTTATCGTTATCGATTAGAATTAATTATTATTAGCTATATGATTAAAAAATTATTGAACCTTTCAATCATTTATCATGTGAATAAGAAAGCCTGAGTAGTTAATTGTTTCATGGTTTCTCTGTAATTTATCATAAAATTAACTTTTACAAATCTTGTTATTGATCAGAAATCAAGTACAAGTAAATTCTTGTAAATAGTTTGCCCAAAATCTAAATTGAACTAATTCGGCCTTCAAGTAAGCTTAAGAAAAACAAAAGGTTCGTAACTAAATATATGGGAATTATTTCAATGAGATTGAATTAATGGGTCCGACCAGCGACCACAAGGAACTTGCACGTTAGCAGAAAGCGAGATTGGGCCCAGTATTGAGGTACTCGGGCTTTTCTGTCCGGGGAAAGCTGGGCCTTTGAACGTATAAGGTAGCCCATTCAACACGGTCTTCCGAGTAATTTTACAGAAATTTTAAGCCCAGATGCGTCTTTCGCGTTTCAACAACACAGGGGTGGGAAAAACAGAGTCGCTGTTGATCAAAGCTTTTTCCACCTCGTAGAAAAGAATCAAGAATCCTTCTTCACTTCTCCTGGCATCCAAAAGAACTACCACTAGTCCAATTGGTAAGTCTCCCCGCCTCTCTCTGCTTCTTCTTTGCACACTGGACTAGGACACTCCGTGTTACAGTTGACGGTCAGCCTTTCAAAGTTTGGATCTTTTCTCGATGTTCAAGGTTTTATGTGATGGCAAATTGGCAATGGCATTGAGGGTTAAAACTGGGATGCCATCAACTGATCAAAGTGATGGCTTGCTGGACTTCTTCGTCTATGAGAGAGCTAACACAACAGGCTCTTCTAATCACTAACTCCCAATTGTCATTTGTTAATCTGCATACTAACTTGAGGAATTGTCAGTGGAATTGGAATGAATAATGGGAGTAGGGTAGAGGTCAGAATGGAATTCAACTCCTTCCAGGCTCTAGCTGCTGAGCATTGAGCAAGAAGCTCAGCAAATTGCCAATGCTACCAGAAACTCTAAGCCCTATTATCCATGTCAGCCACCCCCGGGTTAATCTCTTCGCTTCATGATGTTCTAGGTACCATGGGCCTTCTGTTACATACTCAGTTGATGATGGTGAGTGGTGACTATACCAGACCAGAATGGCTTTCTGTATTTTGTAGAAGTCGCACCGCGTTAATGAGTTGTTTATATGAAAAGTTAGCTTAAAGCAGTCGATGTGGATTGAAGTTGCATAGAAGAATTGCCATGAAAAAGGGTTAGACTGGTTTGCTGGCTGCTAATTAGTCATTCAGAGGGAATTGCCAATTTCTGTATTGTCTATCTCATTTCTTGACAGGACGGAAATGTACATACATATTTCCCAATGGTGAACTTTTGTCTGGCTATGTCTCATGATCACCACCACAGAGGTGAAGTCTCATATAGTCCTGTCAGTTATCCTAGATCTGCAGACAGGTTAAATCTTGGTAGCTGCTTTTTGTTGATTACTAGCCCATTGTGCAATAGTAGGGGTGATTCCTTGCACTTGTACCTTTCTAGGGTTCCCCTCTGACTTGTGAGTTTGCAAGGTTGGGGCTTGTTGGGCTGAAACAAGCCAAGCATGTAGCTGCTGAATTCCAGAGAATGCTGGCAGAGGTGGTAACTCACCATGAAATAACTTGCTTGCCATGTACAGTCGTGCACAAGAAATTCTGACTAGCATCACTTCCTGCAAATAAACAGATCAGTGGAGACCCAGGTGCTAATGTGAAGCAGCTGGAGGGGAGCATGAAAACCGAGGTGAAGATCGGTCACCTGAAGACAGAGTCTGCCAGAATCTCCCATGATGTTGTAGACATGCTTCTGAGGTATGCTGCCACCTTTGAGAATTAGATTTTGATTGATGCCTGGTTGGCCTGATTCTGTTCCAGGACCTTTCTGATGTGTAACATTCTGAGGGCAAGATACTGGGAGTTGTGATGTGGTGTTTATTTTGACATGCAAATTATTTATGATAATTATGTAGATGAGGCTTCTCCGTGGGGGTCAAATCTGATATCACAGTTACTTTCTACATTATATACATGATCTGGAAATAAACTGTTGTAGCTGACTGCATCAGTCTTTCTAAATCAACTCTGTAGTCAGTAGCATAGCGTTAGTTATGCCATAAGCCAGAGAAATCCTGCAAGAACTGATCCATCACTATCCCACAAGCACAGGTGCCGGCACCAAGAAGTACGACTCTCGTTGTTGCTGTCATCCCCTTCTGTACATGTACTGACCATGCCATTGCCGGCGGAAGAACTCCATACAACATGACCATGCAGTAGCCTCCCTACAAGAAGATTACCATCATGTCAACTAAAATTTTGCCACAATGCTGGCCTTCACTCAGCTATAATCATTAAACAACTTACTGCAATATCAGTAGCAGCAGAGAATGCATCAGGAACTGCTGCTGAGACAACAAGCGTGGGAGCTACTGCCATTGTCATTGCTGTCAAGCTAGTTCTATTTCTTCCCCACCAACTTCTCAGCCCAATTGTTTTCTCCGGCGAATCCTGGGATGATGAAATTTTATTCCAAGCGAGGTTCCGAAGCTGCTCCTTGAAGAACTCGGAGAAGCCAAGGAGGGTACCAATCAATGATGTTCCCACTGCTAACAACGAGAAGGCCTGAACCATGAAGGGGATTCCGCTCCATCTCACGCTGGCATGAGAGTGGAAATCAGGAACTAACATGGAAAAATCTTCCGGTTCAGATTAAATTGACGACTGTAGTACTTACTTCATAAGTAAATCAATAGGGTCAACAGCTGGATCAGCTTGAGCTGAAAGGCCAAGTGCTATTGCATCCCAAACAAGTAAAGCCAGCAGTGGAACAAAGCTCCCAATCAAAATTGAAGTCCTTAATCTCGCAAGATCACCACCCAAGTAAGCACAAAGAACTGGCATGAACATCAGATTATCATAAACCAGAACAACATAAGTAACATACAAGGCAAATGTTGTTTCTGGAATCTCAATGGACAATTACCGGGTGCAAGATCATGGTAGACTAGAGAGAAAATCATGACAGGAACTGTGTCTGAAACTTTCCCCCAATCCCCACCTCCCTCAATCATTCCAGACCAACCCCCAAACACAATACACAGCACTTCAATTGCAAGAAGCAAACCTGTATCAGTAAAAGTTAGTGGCTTCAGTGGCATTTCAAAAACAATTTCTAGGTTGAAACTCATTTCAACAACCTCCAACTCCCATCAGTAAAAAAAAACAGAATTTACCAATCATGGAGGCAGTGAGCCATTGGTTCACTCGGTCGGTGGTTGCAGCCCCGCCAATGGAGATCAGCAATGTGAAAACAACAGTGAAAACACAGCCGGAAATGGCTTCTGGGAGATTCAGCAAATGGAACAGGATCTCCCCAGACTTGGAAGCATAAGCAACCATGGAAGTATAGCCCAAGAAAACATAGGTAATGGTGGCCAAATTTCCACCCAAGTCTCCCAATGTATCTTGAGCCATAGTCCTAATCGAAATAATCTCCAGCTCATTCCCATCTTCCATTTTACCTTCCTTTCTCCTTAAACCCACATTGACCTCCACAAGCAAGAATGCCTGAATTAACAGAAACCCCCAGCATAGTATCATGGTTATGGAGCTCGGAACGATACCCTGTAACGGAAAAAGATCAGATCTTGGCTATTGGGTTCAGTTCATCTTTACAAATCCAGAGAGGGCATAAGTTCTTAGCTATTAAAAGAGTAAAATTTTATGTTTTTTACAGCAGGGGAAGCTTTCATGGGGAGAGCAAGAATGCCTGAACCAATACTTGTGCCAATAATTAGAGCAACTGCCCCAGCAATGGTTCCTTTCTTCTCCACTGCTCCCTCCACAATTGGGTCATCGCTACTGGTTTCTATAGAACCCTTGCTTTTGCTTCCCTTTGTTGTCAGATTCCATCTCTTCTGATCTTGCCTCCATTTGCAACTGGAAGCTGAGTAACCACAGCTGGGAAGACACATTCAATTCCATGATCATTAATCAGCCAGCCCAAATAAGTAAAAAAACTGACAGATAACAAAGTGAGTGAGCAAGAGCGAGGAAGATACTTCCATACATGACGCTGAACTTGTAGCAAATTCTTGGTTTGTGGCTTCTCAAACCGACTGCCGATGCAGGAGGAACTAGAATGAGATTCTGATGTGTTTTGAGACGGAAAGAGGGAGGGGGAGAAGAAGACAAGCAGTGAGAATCCATATGTGAGTGATAGAGAGAAAGGGGAAGGCCTGAGAGCGTGGAGATGAATGAATGAGTGGGATGAAAGATTCAAGCTTTCTCCCAAATATCTTGGAGGTAGACCCTCGTTTGGTATATTCATGTGTTTGGAATCAATTGAATGAATGGTCCACGGCCTGCTCAATCCCTGCCTGACCAAATGAAAAAGAGAGCTAAAAAGCACGAGGGAATGGAAAATTTTGTAGGAAGGGTGGTCCTGGTGTGCTGGTTCAGCAGCCAGCAACCCGCGGCCGCTAGCAACAGACTTTGTTTGCTCTCTCCACGCACAAGATTAATGGTCCAGCTCCAGCAGCAATGGTATCAACCAACATTTTCTTTTAGTAAGGTGTTCATTCTTGTGTTCCCATATAGTTTGAACTGAAGTTGAAGAAATTTCTTTTAGGTTACTAGTAAGCTAACTACAAAAATTTTGTAGGTCATTTTCATTTGTGATTGATTTTAAATAGAAATACGATAAGAGAAAACAATCAAATTAACATTTTTTTTTATATAAATTATATGCATGTACTAATTAATAGAAGGACAATTAATAGAAGGACAATGTATCATACGAAATAAAAGGATGTGTGAATGAATTGCCACAAAATAATTCTAGAACTTGGTTCAATCATCAACCCCCACATGCTCCTCCAATTCATGAAATCATAATTTTTCAATTTTTCATGCATACGCTTAGCTTAAATATACACATTCGTTTCTAGATTGTACAAGTGACAAGTTATAAACACACTCTTATAAGTTAGAACCGTAGATGTGGTGGTGAATACATGTATACTATACATGTATTAATAAATCTAACGTATTATGAATTAAAAATTTTGGTATATCGGTATATGTGATGATGTTCTAATAATAAATTTATTTTTTGTGGAATATGTCAAATGTACCCTTCAATTCAATGGGGAAAATGAAATAAAATGCTTTTTAAAGGCCAGGGTCCCTGTCTCCCTGACCGGCTGACCCTGAGGGCTGAGAGTTTTCCTCGGGCCGGGCTCTTTCTTGTTTTAAAATGTAAACTCATTATCCATTTGGGCCAAGATATGACCTAATTAAGCCCATTCTTTAAACGGGCTTCAAGGACTAGACTATAGAAATAATTTATTTTGTAACACATGTTTCAATTTTTTTCGCTACCCCTTGTTCGCATTCGTCTTCTAGGAAATCATATATAACATGGTTCAATACATGAAGAAAGCGTTTATGGATATCTTAGACTTAATTTGCAGGATTCAATATTATTTTTCAACAACAAAATTCATAAAAAAAAAATTAATAAATTAAACTCATGAAACGTACCACTTGTCCAAAAAAAATATCAACTCTGCTTTACACTTCCCACAAGATAGCCGCTATGTGAAATTATGACACTCAAATTATCGAAACCGGCATCTTATACCAGTAGTCAGTGGCCTCCAATGTTACTCATCGAAACATGAACATATATGCATCCAACAGACATAATTAGTGGCATCTACTTAATTAGATGATATGTTATGTTGACACGATAAAAATCATCGATATTACGTCGTTAGGAGAACTTAATAAGTTTTTGATTTATTTTTACGTAAAAACAAAAAGGTTTTGAGTGAAGTAAAATTCCACTATATTAGAATAGAATGCTCTCCTAATTATATTATCATGAATCATAATCAGCTTTTTGGAACTTAAATCATTAATTCGACGAATTAAACAGAAGCCTTCTTAGCTCAGTGGTAGAGCGCGTGGCTTTTAACCACGTGGTCGTGGGTTCGATCCCCACAGACGGCGAACATTATCTTTTTGACAAACCTTTTCCAGTTTGCCTGCTTCTGAGTGATTATGTTGCTGTTGTCCCCCAAACTTCTAATCTTTGTTTATTTTTCGGTGGAAAGACGAAGACGAAACTTGTATTCTAACCAGGCTGTTATCTGCTTAACAGCTTTCTTCTTTCTGCTACAGCCTGCAACAGTGGATGTGGACTGCAGGCAGGCAGGTTTGGAGTATGGGCGGCGAAGCAAGAAAGCCAAGTTAAACGCAATTAGACAGTGACAAGGTAAAGAAAGTGCAGATTTCTACATATACTGCGCACCATAAGCGTACGCCCACATGCACGTTCCGCCCCTTCCTCCTAAATTAACTGCTGCAACCAACAGAAACATATATAGCTATCAATCAGCCTCAGAATGAGATCGAGCAACTAGCTGCTCAATCGTTCGTTTTCTTCGATCATCACCACCATTCCCCAGCTTGATTGCTTGCTTCTTTAAGCTACCTCTACGCTTCGCCCCACCCGAAGGTCCAAACCTGTGGCTAGTTACTGCGTGAAGAAGTAGGTGTAGCTGCAGTAGAAGTAGCACCGCCAAAACCCACTCCGCCTTGTCGTCCGTCTCGTTCGACCACAAAATTCTGTTATGCTATGCATTAGATGCATCTATATATGTACCATTCTGTTATGCATCAGGTATCGTATGTATCTCTTTTAATTGGTTGTAGTGCGTCTATATATATTTACTATATAGTTAGATGTGCATTCATGAATAGTACGTGTGTGTGTGACGGCAACATCCAATTGTTCCCTTGCAGAAAAGCTTACACGATTCAGGGGCATAGCCAGAATTTCATCCGAGGCGGATCCACTTTTAACAAAAAAAAAATGCGCATGATAAAATAGTTTTTGTTAACCTTTTCAATCACTCACTATACAATATTATTCTTTGAAATTTTTCATAAATTAAAATACATTAGTATCCATCAATTTCATTTTTCTTCGTTGAATGGATTTGTATGAAATTGGAATTATTCTTCAATATAATAAGATAAGTATGTAATGCCTGTATATCATATATACACATATAAAAACTAATGAGTCAGTTGTAGTTTTCAACTTTTGATTGACATTTCCACCGCAATTTAGTGGGGAACCAGCCATCAAGCGTGCATTTTCAACTAATTAAAGGGGACAAGGAAATTTAAGGGAATACAAAATCAAAATGATCTCCTTTTTATTGACTTTTCAAATATGATGACAATGGAAATTTATAAACACGGCTTGTTAACATTTTTTTTTTTCATTGCTGAGAAGATTATTCCACCTTAAAATTAGAAGTTGAGATTTCCATATTGAAAATCATAAAATTTTCACTAATAATAGTATTTTTGTTTAAGTGCACATGATTATACATACAAAAGGAAATATCGACCATCTCATTAACTAATTTTAAACCAATTACACCTTTAATGTTGGTGCTTCAACCTTCTGTTTGTTTCAACAAAACAACAAGACAAAAATTGTATTAGAATAATATATCCACTTTCCTTTAGGTACCCAATACTATAAGTCTAATTTAAACCTAAGCTAAAATATTGTGTATAGATCTACCCAAAATCAAAATTACTCAAACCCATTTCGACCCATAGTCCCATACTAAGATGGTTTGGACAATACCCAATATATTCACATCCCTACTAGTTATTATCAGTCTTTTGACTACTGGAAGTTAAAGTAAACTAGACCACTACTCCACTAGAGTACACTAACATTCTCCTAAGAAGAAATCAACTGTTGGAATTATTTTGGTATGTAATGGTAGTAGTAAACAGCCCTAATTATGGCATCCGAGCCAACTTGGAAAGCCCAAATAGTAATAGTGGGATTGTTGAAGAAATCAACATCGATCAAAGCAACACCTCTCATTTCCTTAATGAAGCTATTTGAGGGGAGAAAAGGTTCCACTTATCCTACATAAAAGCACTATAGCGAAGAAACAATCAACATAATTACATGTTTATGTATGATTCCACAAGATAGTCGTCACCCAAAAGTACAAGTGGATCGATTAATAGGTAAGGCGGGCTTGAGGGGTTTAATCATGTTATAAACGCGCTGCTACGGATCGGGAAATCGCTGGGATCGACAAAGCAAGAATACGAAAGCGAGAATCGAAAACACGACACACGATTTACGTGGTTCACTAACACGATGTGTGTTAGCTACGTCCACGGGCGAGAGAGAGCCAGTTTCACTATATCTGAGGAAATTACAGATTACAGAGGAGTATGAGAAGTATTTATAGTACTTCTCCATGTGGGTCTAAACCTAATCCAATCTAGTACTTCTCCAGCGAGACCCCCGATTACCAGTCGTAGCGGCTGATAGTCCGATTCAAGTCATATCAACAAATCTCCACCTTGACTTGAATCCTCTTCCTCTGAAATCTCTGATGTACTCTGCTCCTTCTCTCTCTCCCGCCATCAATGCCCCGTAGGGCGGAGTCACCCACTCAAGACATTCAGCAAGTCCAAGCAGTGTTGGAACTTGCCATGAGGGACCGGCTTCGTGAACATATCAGCAGGATTATCCGCGGTGCCAACCTTCTTCACCTTAATCCTCTTCTCTGTCCTCAAGAAATGATACCTCACATCGATGTGCTTAGTCCTCTCATGGTGGACTTGATCCTTGGCCAAGCATATTGCACTCAAACTGTCGCAATACACCACTGCCTGATCATGATGTAGACCAAGATCACCAACCAGTCCCTTCAACCATATTCCCTCCTTAGCAGCTTCTGTCAACGCCATATACTCTGCCTCAGTAGTAGACAATGTCACCGCCGACTGCAAAGTTGCCTTCCAGCTCACTACAGAACTCCCAAGAGTGAATACATAACCGGTCATCGATCTCCTCGTGTCAACATCTCCAGCATAGTCCGAGTCAGAATACCCAGACACCAAGCACTCTGTATCACTTCCGAAGCTAATCCCCACATCAGGTGTACCCTTAAGGTACCGGAAGATCCTCTTCACAGCCTGCCAATGCTCCTTCCCAGGTTGTATCATAAACCTGCTGACAACACTAACAGCATGTGCAAGATCAGGTCTAGTGCATACCATAGCGTACATCAAGCTACCTACTGCACTAGCATATGGGACTCTCGACATGTACTCCTTCTCAGCCTCTGACTGCGGTGCATAAGCCGAGGATAGATGAACATTTGAAGCACTAGGAGTATTTAAGGGCTTTGCTGAAGACATGCCAAACCTCGACAGTATCTTCTGGATGTAGCTCTTCTGTGACAAGAAAAGCTTCTTCTTCGACCTGTCCCTGTAAATCTCCATACCCAAG